CACCAAATTAGATAAAAGAACACATAAAAACTCAGCTTTAGATATAGGAAAATTTGCAGGTAATTCACAAGACACATTAGACAAAGACACCCTAAAAACATTCAAGGAATTAACAAAAGGAATTAGAGAGTGATGAACCTGTAAACTTTATCAGCAACGATGATGGAAAAAATAATTTTGAAGATGGGTGATCTATTGTGGATGCGTGTTGGAATGTCAATGTCATCTCGATCGCTGTAGGATTCTGACTCTGGTTCAGGTTCTGGTTGATTAGATATGGGCGATGAGGTAGATGACTCAGGAACTGGTTCCGGAGTACCAGCGTCAGGGGATTTAGGGCGGTTAGCTTCAGGATCTGTCACTGAGTTAGGTTGAGTAACTTCGATAATCTCATGTGGTTGATCATCGATTACGACATTTGTGGACACCATGATGGTTTTGATCACCTTATTGTATACTCTCTAGGCTCTGCTATTTGTTGAATAGCCGAGAAAGATTCCTTCGTCGCTTTTTGGTTCAAATTTTGAGACTGGATTCCTATCTTTCAATATAAAACATAGTGAGCCAAAAATGTGAAAATATGAAATGTTCGAACGAAATTGAGAAAAACCATTATAGTCGATGATCATTTTGGGTGTTAACTCATTATTTAAATATGTAACTCAAAGTATATGAATGCAAGATAATATAAGAGATTCATTATAATTGTTTATCACTAAAATAAATGTTTTCAACTTTGTAAAATTGATAGTCTAAATACTTAGTCTAAAAACGATAGCTTAAATAAAAATCATGGTTTGAATTTTTAAGTATTCTTAATTCTCTTTTGAGTAGCATTGTCATTGTCTTCATCTTCACTATTTGTCATCTTCTTTTTTGTTAGTAGTGTGTTATTTGCAATTGGGTTACTGTTGGTAGCATAGATAACAGCGTCATGCAATAAGATTATGATGTAGGAAGCAGCGGATTTTCCTTGTTGTATATGATTGGGATCTTAGTTGTACTATGAACTCTTGATCTTACAAGCGCTTGTTGATATTTTGTAGTGGTAGTTTTTTCTCCTACATGTTTCATGTGGAAGTATTGAATAAAATATTAATATTTATTATATTTGTATAAGATTCATGAGTAGTACATCTTGTTCTATTTTCATAACTTGTTTACTTGATAGTAACAACAATGACCATGTTTGGTAAATGCATGTTAGCTGATAGCTGTTAACTGTTAGCTGATTGTGTTAATTAGAGGGTATAACCAGTTGATAACATTAGTTGTAGAAAAGTGTTGGGTAAATTAGTTTTTAGCTGATAGCTGTTTGATATAATTTCTTTTTTGAAAAAGCTAATTGAAAAAGTTGCTTGGAGTAGCTTATTGAATTTTAGCATTTTGGAGTTGCAAAAGGCTAATTAACCAAACACTTATATTGATATTTTAACTAAATCAAACAAATAATAGTGATCAAATAAGCCAAAATTAGCCTGTAGGCCAATTTTTTTTACCAAACAGTGCCAATAACTTTGTAGGTAGTCCGAATACTGATGCTGCAACTTGTCCAGTTTCACCAATAATTTCTACATCCATTTTGCACATTTTCATTTTCAAGTTCATATTTTTAGAATTAGTAGGAGTAAATGTAGTACTTGATTTTATTGAATTAATACAAACCTTAGAGTTAAATTGTTTTCCACTTTGTGCAGAAATTTTTTTAAATAGTGACTACATCCTATATACCAAGTATTTTTGTTGTGAATGTTGATGCTGTTTTTGCCTATAATCTAAGTAGGTTGCCTCTAAAAGATGAAATGAATTGTAAATTTAGATTAGTTTTAATATATTTAATGAATGCACTATAAGTATTTTACATACAGGATGAATGAATGAATCAACGATAACTATCTTGAAATTTCTTCATTTTCTAGGTTTGCCATTGATTGTAACATTGTGGTAGTCTCGGCATCTTTTCAATGCATCAAGTGTGTTACGATGTTCTATTGCTTACATTAACAGTTTCAATAATGAGTTTTAGATGTAACTACGTAAGATAATGATATAATTAACATTTACATATTATTATCAACATAAAAGCATACCAGTCCTTTAAGTGTTTTGCTCGGGATTCATTTGGTTCAACTATTATTGTTGAATGAGTTATTATGGATAAAGAAATCTCTAGTTTAAGGAATAAGATTAAATAAAGTAATACAAATTTGAACATTTTAAATATGATGTAGTCCAAAGATATTACGAGGTAGTTTGCCGCTTCGATTTGTTGGATTATTTGAATATACTCCTTTTGTCAACAAATCCCCTGAGTAGTTAATATGATTGGCTTCAAACTATTTTTTTTTCATGGTATTAATAAAATACTTAGTAAATAAATATATAACATTATTTTGTATTATAACTTTGATATTTGATTACAAGATATTGTAAAAAGAAGATAATGGATAATGTAGTGAATATAATCAATTGATGAAATAGAATGTAAAGAGTTTTTGCATTGGAGAATATAAAGACAATATAACTTATGAAATTATTTCTCTTTTTTAATTTATTGATAATGAATAATATTTTTTTAATAAAGGCATTGTAGACACATAATTCTAAATTAAAGAAATGCATATGTATTATTTTTTATTGTCGCTACTAATTTATTTAATTTAATAGGAGTAAAATATAGTGATGAACTTAATTATGCCAACTTTGATTGGGATGAGTTCGAACCTAAGACCTTTCTTATTGAAATCAATGAGTAAGTTAACGGAAAATATAATTTTTAACGAAAAAGTTAATGGTGTGTAGATATCTAAGAAAGAAAATCATATAATTAAGGATAAATTAGGAAATCTCAAGGAAAAATTAAAATCTGAACCATTCATTTGATTTAATAATTTGACGGACATTTTTTCTACCCATTATAGGCCTAACTTTCTTTGGCTCTTATTAGTATAGTAGAAATAATTTGACGGACATTTTTTCTACCCATTATAGGCCTAACTTTCTTTGGCTCTTATTAGTATAGTAGATTATATTACCGTCAAATAATAATAATAATAATAATAATAATAACAACAACAACAACAACAACAACAACAATAATAATAATAATAATAATAACAATAATAATAATAATAATAATAATAATAATAATAATAATAATAATAATAATAATAATAATCTATACTATATATAAAAACAAAATCCTGAAATTTTAACTTCCCGCCCAAATCCTAAAACATCTCCCTTCCCAATAAAATATATTGATTTCTACTTTCCCATTCGTACAATAATTCTGGGTAAAAATTCTATTCTAAAATTATAAAATAGTGTAATACAATTCTCTTTGCACATCTAATCTATACTATATATAAAAAAAAAATCTTGAAATTTTAATTTCGCGCCCAATTCCTAAAAAATCTCTCTTCCCAATAAAATATATTGATTTCTACTTTCCCATTCATACAATAATTCTGGGTAAAAATTCTATTCTAAAATTATAAAATAGTGTAATAAAATTATCTTTGCACATCTAATCTATACTATATATAAAAACAAAATCATGAAATTTTAACTTCCCGCCCAATTCCTAAAAAATCTCTCTTCCCAATAAAATATATTGATTTCTACCTTCCCAATCGTACAATAATTCTGTGTAAAAATTCTATTCTAAAATTATATATTAGTTTAATACAATTCTCTTTGCACATCTAATCTATACTATATATAAAAACAAAATCCTGAAATTTTAACTTCCCGCCTAATTCCTAAAAAATCTCTCTTCCCAATAAAATATATTGATTTCTTCTTTCCCATTCGTACAATAATTCTGGGTAAAAATTCTATTCTAAAATTATAAATTAGTGTAATACAATTCTCTTTGCACATCTAATCTATACTATATATAAAAACAAAATCTTGAAATTTTAACTTCCCGCCAAAATTCTAAAAAAATCTCTCTTCCCAATAAAATATATTGATTTCTACTTTACCATTCGTACAATAATTCTGGGTAAAAATTCTATTCTAAAACTATAAATTAGTGTAATACAATTCTCTTTGCACATCTAATCTATACTATATAGAAAAACAAAATCCTGAAATTTTAACTTCCCGCCCAAATCCTAAAAAATCTCTCTTCCCAATAAAATATATTGATTTCTATTTTCCCATTCGTACAATAATTTTGGGTAAAAATTCTATTCTAAAATTATAAAATAGTGTAATACAATTCTCTTTGCACATCTAATCTATCTATACTATATATAAAAACAAAATCCTGAAATTTTAACTTCCCGCCCAATTCCTAAAAAATCTCTCTTCCCAATAAAATTTATTGATTTCTACTTTCCCATTCGTACAATAATTCTGTGTAAAAATTCTATTCTAAAATTATAAAATAGTGTAATACAATTCTCTTTGCACATCTAATCTATATTATATATAAAAACAAAATCCTGAAATTTTAACTTCCCGCCCAAATCCTATAAAATCTCTCTTCCCAATAAAATATATTGATTTCTACTTTCCCATTCGTACAATAATTCTGGGTAAAAGCTGTGAAGTGTCAAAAGTTCGGCAATGCATAACTTTTGACTCGGTTGTCCGTTTGTGACAAATATTTTTTTGAAATCGTGTATTTTTTCGAGATATATCCACCGCAAACTACCGTAGGCGGTTTGGCCCACCAATTTCTAAAAAAAATGCTTTATTAAATAGTTTCTAAGAAAAAACTATGAGAACCTTATGTTTTATTAATGAATTTTTAAATTTTTTAATTAAAAAATTGTCCCGTGCATTTTTTAATAATCTCTCTTTATAATTGGTCAAATTATTTAATTATGGTAAATTAGGGATAATTAATGATGGTAATAGAAATCCTATAAGCCACCTCTGGTGAAATTAACTCTTAAATAATTATATATCGATTTAAATATTCTTAGTATATTACAACACTTCCATTCCGTGCATCGCACGGGTGAAAATACTAGTAATAATAATCTCTTATTATAATAAAGAGAGGGGATTTTGCCAATGAAATTGTCCCATTCTCCCGCTCAAAGTTTTTGCTGTTTTTTTTTTTTTTTTTTGGATTTTACAGATGAAGCGCGATGATGGGTGTTCAAGTTAATTAGGAGTCTAATCCTATTTTTTCTCTTTTTTATAGCTATATTTAATCTCATTGGTGTGTGTTGTTATTGGGAAACGATATAATCCTCTTTAGTCCTGCTTAGCTTCAGAATAGTAGCTACTGCTTTATGATTATTTTGATTTTTCTTTGGAAATGATTTGGCCTCTAACATTGATCCATTCTCCAGCGCAAAGTTCGATCCCTTTTTTTTTTTTTTTTTTCAGATTTTACGGATGAAGTTGTGACGATGGTTAAGAGATTTTGATTCCCAAATCGATTGGTATCATGAGACGATTGTCATTGATTTCAATTCTTTTTTTCATTGGTTGAACGATTTGGCCTCTAACATTGATCCATTCTCCAGCGCAAAGTTTGATTTTTTTTTTTTTCAAATTTTACAGATGAAGCTGTGATGATGTTTAAGAGATTTTGGTTCCCAAAGCGATTGGTATCATGAGATGATTGTCATTGATTTGAATTCTTTTTTTCATTGGTCGAACTTATTTATTGTATTTATTTATCATTTGTAATGATTCAAGTTAATTAGAAGTCTAATCCTATTTTTTCTCTTTTTATAGCTATATTTAAGCTCATTGGCGTGTACAATTCTTGAAAAACGAATCGTCCTCTTTAGTCCTGTTTAGCTTCAGAATAGTAGCTATGGTGTTATGATTATTTGTTTTATCTATGCTACTTCTTTGGGTATATATATACATGGCTGAACAGCATTCAAACACACGCACACCACTGATTAACAACTCTGCGTCATAACTCACATTGAGCCCTTTAGAATGGCTGGTCAGTTTGTTCTGGCCTCTCAACCCAAACCTGAATTTACAACCAAGGCAATTCGAGCTCGTTTGGTGCGAACATATGAAGTTCCTGAAAACAACAAAGCAAACGGAACCAGGAGTATTGAATGCTTATTTCATGATGAAGAGGTTAGTGGTAGTTAGAAAACAGTTTTTACTGATTTTTTTTTTATATCGCTATTTTTAATTTGTTTTGTTCTTTGTTATGAATACAGGGTACTTTTATACATGTTCACATATCTAAGAAGCAAGTTGAGAAATATACCAGTAAGTTTAAGGAGGGCAAGGTATATGGCATAAAAAATTGGCTATGCGTCAAAAATTTCTTGAAATATAAAACGAGTCAGCACCCTTACGTCCTCAAGTTTAAACATGATACTTTGGTTAAGGAGTACAAGCGAATTGATTTTCCTAATCATGTGTTCCGTATAAAGTCTTTTCCCTCATTGATACTCAAACAAGATGTTGACGAGAAGGAGTTGATAGGTATGCTATTAGATTATTAATTCTTTGAATTTACAGTTATTTATATATTTTTCTAATTTGCCATGTTTATTTTTAGATGTGATTGGCAGAGTAGTTGAAATATACTCTCCCATAGAGAGAAATGTTGGTGGAAGGATGGCTAAATTAATTGATTTTGTGTTGGAAGATGGAAAGTAAGAGCAATATACATACATATTCATTGATTTTGTGTTGGCAGATTGATTTTGTGTTATCTTAGTTTGTTATTTTAGTTTTTCTGTTTTCTGCGTATATAATGTCTTTTATTCATTTTCAGTGAAAATCAACTGCATTGTACTGTGTGGGATGACCACGTTGACCAGTTGGTACCATATTTTAATTCGACCTCTTTAGAGCCAATCATACTTTTGCTTCAGTTATGCAGAGCTAGGCTTCTTGACAGTGAGCTTTTTTTCACCTTCCCATTACTGTACTTACTTTTACTATTCTTTTAGTAGATTACATTATGAGTTTTTTAGATGGTGAGGTTCGGATTTCCAGCTCCTTTGATGCAACTAAGCTCTGGTTTAATCAGAGGTCTCATGAATTTGTTTCTTTTGTGGAAAGGTAATTGTTATGGTGGTGTAGTGCATTTTATATATTTTAATTTTTTTCTGAATTTTTCCATTGATTCTAACATATGATATACTTGTGATGTTTTTACAGTCTGCCCTCTGTATGTACCCCTTTAAGGAGGATACAATCAGAATCGAGGCTATCTTTAGTTAAGATGGAGCGGTCATGTTCAAGTTCTGAGGTTGTTGTTACTACTATTGAAGAAGTATATACAAGAAAGAAGGTAAACTTAAATTTTGTATTTCGTATGTTCTAGATAATCTACATTTTACCTATTAACATGGAGACTAGATAATCTACAGTTTACCTATTAACATGGAGACTTATTTTTACAGTTATCTGAATACTGGATTGCTGCTACAATTCTGGGTGTTGAGTCTTTGGATGATTGGTATTATATCTCATGTAAGGGTAGCAGTTGTAGCAGAAAATTGGTCCCCCTTAATGGTTTGATGTACTATAGTAAGTGTGACAGAAGTTGGAAAGAGGGGTCTATCAAATATAAGGTTGTGGTACGTGTAAGAGATAGTTCTACAGATGCACCTTTTTTGCTATGGGATCGAGAATGTTAAGAAATATTAGGTGTTCCGGCTCTTAGTCTAATAAAGAAGTATGGTGTGGTAAGTCAATGCCTAAATTTATTATTATTTTTTGGGCTCAAATATGAAAACAAAGTATGATTCATTTACTATATATTCACAGGAATATGAAGGTATTCCACTCGAATTGGAAGCCCTTGCTGGCATGCATTTGCTTTTTAAAATTGTGATGAAGAAGGACCAGATTAACAATTTACATTCTGCATTTAGTGTGCTGGGAATTGACAGGGATAGTGGTTCTATTGCTAAGTACTTTGGTAAATTGGCTTGTGATGATGGAAGGGCTGTTGGTGCACCAATGTTGGGTGATCAAGGAAGTGTTAATAATATTGATGATGTATAGCTACAGATTTGTTTACTTATATATATATGTGTGTGTGTGTGTGTGTTATTATTTGACATGTTATATGTATTGTATTTTCAGGACTTCTTTGCTGGGCACGATGTTGTTAATTTGGGTGATGCTTATGATGAGATATTGGAGTTACCTGCGGATGGTTTTGTGAATAACCATGTTGGGGATGAGTTTACACAGGTTGCATTACATAGAATTAAATCAATTTCATAAAAGTAATATTTTATATACTATAGTATTGTAATTAATTTATTAAATTATGCAGGGTGTGTTTAGAGTGGATGAGTCTGGTACTGTTGACTTAGGTGGAGTTCCTCAAGATGGAACACATGGCACTGTTGGAGATTCTGTGAAGAGGTGTTTGATGAGCGAGTTCACAAAAGTTGAAGTGCCTAAAAGACGTAGGACTTTGGCTATTAAGGAAGAAGAGATTTAGTGTGGTGACTACTGGTTGTGTTGGTTCTTTGTGTGGTGTCTGGACTTAAGTATTTAAATATTTCAGTGTTGTTGGTTTTTTTTTTGAACTTTCTGCTTATAAATGTTTTAAAGCAGAAATTGTTGACCCTTCCCAAAAAAAAAAAAGCAGAAATGGATGCCACATATTTTGTTTTTTGCTGTGGTTGTTTTAGGGTTGGTGTTCCGTAATGTTAATTTGTGTCCTTAATATTTGTAGTTTGTGCTATTTCAATTTAGTAATTTTGTTCCTAAAAGCATCTATGTTTTATAATGAGGTTATGGACTAACTATTATTGTTTTTAGAAATAGCATAAAAATGCAGTAAATTATTCCTGCTGATAGTGTTAAAAGCCCTTCAGAATAGCAACATAATGCAATTTCCTTTGGGAACTATAAAAAAATGATGTGCAATTTAATTGGTTTGTTTTGATTTCAACAGAAATAAATCAAAGTAGGTAAATAAAACAGAATTTGTAATGAAGTGAGTTTTAAAGTAAATAGAATGTTCAGAGTATGCATTCAAAAAAAGAATGTTCATAGTATCCATTGTCATAGAGCAAGTAATTCTAATTGGTAAAAGAGTTTATGGAATAATTATAACATATAAGTAGCCCACATTATTACATTACTGCTGTTGTGGTACATGGATAAAATAAATTTTGTCACTTCTGCTTACAACTCCATGGAGCAAAATCAGAGAAAGGACCTTGCTTTATCTTCATGTCCTTCAATTTGGAGATGGGTACAAGCCCCACTTTGCTATGAGGAATTCAGGAGTTCTAAGTTGCCTGGAAAGCTTAAAAGCAAGGAGCTTGACCTGCTAAGTAAGCCATCACATAATAGTAAGTTATTACCTTCCAGCTACTGTATTTAAAATAAATAGAATGTTCATAGTAACTGTTAACATACAGCAAGTAATACTCATTGATAAAAGAGTTTATTGACAAATTAAAACATACAAGTAGCCCACATTACTGCTGTTGTGGTACATGGATAAAATAAATTGCAGCTCTTGCGCCTACGGCTCCATGGAGCAAAATCAGAGAAAGGACCTTGCTTTTAATTCAGGTTCTTCAATTTGGAGATCAGTACAAGCCCCACTTTGCTCTGAGAAATTCATGAGTGTTGAGTTGCCTGGAAAGCTTAAAAGCAAGGAGCTTGACTTGCTAAGTAAGCCATCACATAATAATAGTCTGTTAAGTAGTAGCATTTGTATTTAACATCTAATTATAACATAAAAACTCTCCATCTTTAGGTCCTTTCATAGATTATAAGTTTTGACTAACTAAATTTATGTATCATTCATAGAAAATGCAAGGATGTACTTCTATTCAAAATATGTATATAGAACAAAACACATGTATACTTTTTTCAAACCTGGCAATTTATTTGTAAAATAAAGTACATGATATATATATATATATATATATATATATATATATATATATATATATATATATATATATATAAACACATAGAAAACTGCAGATGATTTGAGTAAATAACCAATTGAGTAAACTGCAGATGCATTGAGTAGATAACCTACTGAGTACATGTATCTACAAGTAAATAAAATCACCATAGATTTTTCATTCCCAATAAAAAAGGAGACTACTATTCATTACAATGCTACCTATTAGTAATCATTCTATTGCAATTATCAATGTTTTTTAAAGGAGTATAAAATGATGTCTTTCACATGTTTACAACAAAAGTTTCCTTCAAAATCACTTCAATACTTCAAAGCTGGATAGCTAGCAACAGCCTAAAGAAAAAAATGAAGAAGTTAAAGAATTCAACTACTATTGGATGCAAGAGAAAACATGGTCATGTAAATAAAGGTATTGTTGCAGCTGTTTTAATTATGTATGCTCTCTAGAGTACATTGATTTGAAGTACTGCGTATAGTAATCAAATTGCCTGTGTACCGTACTATATTTTCAATGTGATTGCTTAGTGTTTTATCTCAACAACTCTAAAACAGAATAGTAGTCTATTAAGTAGTATCATTTGTATTTAACATCTAATTATAAAATAAAAATCTTCATCATTTAGATCCTTTCACAGGTTATAAGTTTTGACTAACTAAATTAAGGCACTGCAAATCTGAATTTTTTTCTAAATTAGAAAGTTCAAGGCAGAAAATTATACAGTAATATTTAATACTAATATACAGATTTCATACTGTACATATCTTTAAAAGAATTAGATATAAAAATCATATATAGGTAGCATATCACATGAACTGAAATTCTAAATTTTAGATAAAACAATAATTAAAATTAGTAGTACAGTAAATTATATATTAATTAAAAATATAATGTTTAGCAGAACGATTTTGCAAAATAAATCCAATCGATTTTAGCTCTCCTCCCACTTTTGCATGAGTAAGTACAAGAGTTGTGGAGCCATTATTTAGGTCGAACTCCTATTTTCAAGTATGAGTGAGTTTGGTTATGCAATATAAACAATTAGGTTTCTTAGATCTTTCAAAAATGGGGTTGTGTTCTAGGCTAAACGGAAAAAAATAAGACATTTGTTTGGAATTTACCTTCTGTAGAACGGTCTATCGCCAGACTGGTGTCGACGGTCGCTGATATGTAGATGGTTAGGTTTTTTTTTCTGTTCTGGTATGGGTGTTAGTGATACTTTCTTCACCTCCGTTCTGTTTCTGAGTGATTTCCGTTGAAGAATTCTTCGGCAAAGACGAGAGACTGCGATCTCCAAAATCATAGATGAGAGATCGCAGATGGTTCTGGAAAGCGGAGAGACAGAAATGAAATGGAATGGCTGAAATCGGATGGGTTGAAACGGGTTGGATGCTATATATAGTTGGGTTGTATGGTATGTTGGGCTGGTTGGATAGATTGGGCCAAAGACAGCTTCTCTATTATTATTAATATTATTATTATTTCTATTTTTGATTAGTATTTATATTTTGGGTGGTTGTTATATTAAGATGCTTAGACTGATTGGGCCCAAGTTTATTTCTTAATTGTTCTAAAGCCTTATGTTTACATTATTCTTACTGTTTATATTTTTTTTATTGCGTAAAAGGATTAGTATTTTAAAAATATTATTTATTAATTATTAATGATCTTTGACAATGTAATTATTATTTTGATGAGGATTGTTGTTAATATTATCCAAGTATTACTTTAAATATTGAAATTTTAATAGTTACCAATTATGTTTTCTAAAAAAAAATACACATACAAATTATATTTAGCTAATAATTTATTTTTATACAAAATTTCAGACATGGAATATAAATTTTAGGAAATTAATAATTATTTTTTGCTTTGAATGTACTTATCCTTTCTCTTAGACTTAAATTTACACATAAAATATTAGTGTTATTGTTATTATTATTTTTTATTTTTTGAAAACTGTTATTATATTCTTATTAGTGTAATTATTATTATTTATTACTATGGTCGTATTTATTGTTAGATATTTATTTATGAATTGAAATGATATGTTATTATTTTATGCACTTTTTTTTAGTAATTAGTATAAATTGTTGGTATAAGGGAATTAATATATAACATTTTTTTTTTATAGAGAATGTTGGCATATTGTTGGATAAGACAAATTCTGCACAAAGAATTGATGGCGTTGTGATGGAATCACAAAATCGAAGTTTTGTTGGAGTTTTTATGAATTCTCTATCGACACCGCTTAGCGTATTGACAAATTGTAAATATAGATCAAATTAAAACTATAATTTTAATTTTTGGTATTTTTTTAATAAATGTTTTGCGTTTTAAAATGTAGGTAATCATATTCGCAGTACTATATCTAATAATATTAGAGAGTACTCAACAAAATGCAGTGTTTCTAATATTGACTTTGCTGCTCAAGGAGTCAATGTTATGGTAGATGATATTCCTGGTCCTTCAAAAACTTTTCCTACACTTAATGACGTTGCTTTTCAAGGGGTCAATGTTGCAACAAATTCAGGTATTATTATTTGATTCGTTATTTTTACATGTATATTGGTTGAATTAATGATATTTGTATGAGTGTGATGTGATGTTTTGTATTGTTCTACGTATTTTACCAGAGGTGGATGCTACTGTACTGAGTAGTGTTAATGAGATTGAACACAACTTTGAATGTAATTCATCAGTTCATTGTGCTTCCAATATAGGAAATGAAAATGTTATGTCATCTGTGCAGACTACAATTACAGGTTATTTTCTTTAAAAATTGCGTCAATTTGGTATTATTTATGGCATGTTTACAAAAGTGTGCATGTCAATTTCAATGTATATGTTTGTGAATATTTGTTGTATTATGTAGTGTCATACTTTGACAACGGAGATTCAATATTTAGCTGTGAACATTGTGGAGCAATGTTTTGGTATGACGAGAGATTAAAAAGTGCTAAGGTGAATTGTGCTCCTAGATTTTCAATATGTTGTGGGAATGGGAAGATTAAGTTGCCGGCGTCAAATATTCCACCTAGAAAGTTATTTGAATTGTTTTTTAGCTGTAGTGCTAAGAGCAAGCATTTTCTACAAAACATTCGGTCGTACAATAGTATGTTCAGCTTTACATCAATGGGTGGAAGAATTGATAGAGAAATTAATGTTGGTGGTACTCCTCCTGTGTTTCGTTTGAATGGGCAAAACTTTCATTTAATGGGAAGCTTATTACCTATTGATGGTAACAATGCCAAATTTGCCCAACTATACATTCATGATTCAGAAAATGAACTCAAGAATAGGATGAGAGTTCTCAGGTTAGTCATTTAATATGCTCGCATTTTTTCCCCTTCATATTTTACAATTTGATTAAAAGAAGAGTGATTAGTGTTTGTTATTTTCTTAAATTTTAGGAAAGAAACTGATTCTCAATAATTAGATGGAGATGTAGTTGCTGAAATACAATCTGAATTGGATGAGAACAATGTTTTAGTCAAATCATTTAGAATGGCTAGGGATGCAATTCAAGAAAATCCAAGAGCAGAAGTGAAGATGAAGCTAATTGGTAAACGTAGTAATGATGCTCGAACCTATAATTTGCCTTCTGTTTCAGAAGTTGCTGCAATTATTGTTGGCGATTTAGATGCACATTTAGGTGAACGAGATATATTGGTTGAGACAAAATCTGGTTTGCTCAAGAGGATTAGTGAATTAAATCCAGCGTACCTACCATTACAATATCCTATATTGTTCCCTTATGGAGAAGATGGTTATAGGGAGGATATTGCTTTCCAAGTTGTTAAAGCGGTTGAAAATGGAGCAAGGCATCGGATTTCACCTCGTGAGTATCTCTCTTATCGTATACATGAGCGGATGTCAGAAATTTGTACAATTTTATATGCTAGGAAATTGTTCCAACAATTCTTAGTGGATGGGTACACCATGGTGGAGTCTGGGCGGTTGTTGTACATTCGTACCCATCAAAAAGCGTTGAGGTGTGGAGCATATCAAGGATTATCTGATGCATTAACGCGAGGAGAGGTTGAATCAAGTCGCCAAGGTAGACGTGTTATTTTACCATCAAGCTTTACTGGGGGTGCAAGGTACATGATCCAGAATTACCAAGATGCGATGGCTATTTGTAAATGGATTGGGTACCCAAATTTGTTTATCACATTTACATGTAATCCCAAGTGGCCAGAAATAGAGAGGTATTTGGATGGACGAAATTTGAATGCTACTGACCGACCGGACATAATATGTCGTTTGTTTAAAATGAAATTGGATGCTTTGATCAAAGAAATCCGTTCTGGTGAAGTGTTTGGTAAAGTCACGGCAGGTACACACATTTAATATGTCATTTAGATGTGTTAAATATTTTTGAAAAAAATTATTGTTTTTGCACTATTTTTTCACCATAAATTTTGCTTTTTATTTTGTAGTAATCTACACTGTCGAATTTCAAAAACGAGGGCTGCCTCATGCACACATTTTGTTGTTCCTTAGTCATAATGATGCGCAAACATTGTGTCAGAACATTGACTTGATCATTTCAGCTGAGATTCCAGATAGAGGAATGGATCCTGAATACTATAAAATTGTTGAAGAGTTTATGATTCACGGTCCTTGTGGTCATCTTAGACATAATTCTCCATGTATGGTGAAAGGTCGTTGTTCAAAATATTTCCCAAAAAAGTTTGTTCCTGTATCAGGTTTTGATCAAGATGGGTACCCGATTTACAGACGCAGAGACAATGGTCAAATGGTTGATAAGAATGGCATTGTATTAGATAACAGGTTTGTTGTTCCACATAATAGATACTTACTTATGAAGTATAAAGCACATATTAATGTTGAATGGTGTAACCAGTCCCGTTCTATTAAGTACTTATTCAAGTATGTTAATAAGGGCAATGATCGGGTCACAGCTGAATTCTACAAGAGTACTACAGGTGTTGATAGTGATGAAGTTATAGATGAGATCACTATGTTTTACGATTGTCGTTACATATCTGCATGTGAAGCTACATGGCGCTTATTTGCTTATGATATTCAGTTTAGGACTCCTGCAGTTGAAAGATTGAGTTTTCATATGCCTGAGCAACAACCTATTTTTTTCAATGATGATGATTCTGTTGATGCTGTTTTAAACCGACATACAATAGGGGAAAGCATGTTTCTCGGATGGTTTGAAGCTAACAAACAATACTCAGAAGCACGGGAGTTGACTTATTCTGAAATGCCAAATAAGTTTGTGTGGAAAAAAAATATTCGACAATGGCATCCTAGGAAACGAGGATTTGCTATAGGTCGTATGTTTTATATTCCACCTGGTAGTGGTGAAATTTATTATATGAGGTGTTTGCTAAATTTGGTGCGTGGTCCTACGTGTTTTGAAGATATCAGGAGTGTTAATGGTGTTCAATATATGTCTTTTAGAGATGCATGTTATGCACGAGGGTTGTTAGCAGATGATAGAGAATATATTGATGCAATTGAAGAAGCAAGTGAATGGTCTTCAGCATCCTCACTACGGAGGCTATTTATAACAATGCTCATGACAAATGCCCTTAGTCAACCGGAGAATGTATGGAATGCTGTATGGCATCACCTTGCTGAAGATGTGCAATACAACCGACGAAGATTACTATTTGATTCAGGTATTGTTTCAGCGCTATATTAAAAGCTTTTTTTTTTCTTTAAAATGTTAATAACTAAATTGGTGCTCCATTTGACATATGTAAGTTAAAATTAATATTATTATTTTATCTAGGTTTGGTTTTAACAGATGATGAGAAGAAAAATTGTGCTTTAATTGAACTGGAGAAATTGCTCAAACTGTGGAACAAAACGTTGGCAGATTTTCCCTCCATGCCTGTCCCAGGCTAAGATTGTCATTTATTAACTGTGAATCGTTTATTGTATGAGGAATTATCATATAATTTTGATGATATGAAGAGGGAGCTTGATTGCTTTGTTAGTCAACTAACTGAAGAACAGAAATATGTGTACGATACTATACTTGGTGATGTTGAGTCTCATGCAGGTGGGTTATATTTTGTGTATGGTTATGGAGGTACAGGCAAAACTTTTGTTTGGAAAACACTGTCTGCTGCTATTCGTTCACAGGGTAATATTGTGCTAAATGTTGCTTCAAGTGGTATTGCTTCTCTTCTTATGCCTGGTGGTAGAACTGCACATTCTCGGTTTGCCATACCTATTGAGATTAATGAGGATTCAACATGTAATATAGCACAAGGTAGTGATCTTGCTTAGTTAATTATCAAGTGCAAGCTAATCATTTGGGATGAGGCACCTATGATGCATAAACACTGTTTTGAAGCATTGGATCGCACAATGAGAGATTTGTTGAGATTTGAAAATACCTTGAGTTCAAATATGACTTTTGGAGGAAAGACAGTAGTTCTTGGTGGTGATTTTTGACAAATATTACCAGTGATTCCAAAATGGACTAGACAAGATATTGTTGGGGAAGCATCAATTCTTCTTATTTGTGGAGTAGTTGTAAGATTTTAAGATTGACTAAGAACTTAAGACTACAGACATTAGGAGATGTTGATTCTTGTGCACGGTTTGAAAAATTTGCAAAGTGGATAGCTAATATAGGTGATGGTGAGGTTGGTGTTGAAAATGATGGTCATGCAGACATAGAAATTCCAATAGATAATTTGTTACAACCTCAAGGTGATCCAATTGAAGCAATAGTTAAGAGCACATTTCCTATGTTTTTAGCGGGTAATTGTGATTTGGAGTATTTGAATGGTCGGGCAATATTAGCTCCAACATTAGACGTAGTCAATGAAATCAATCAATATATGAGTAGTTTGAATCTTGTTGATGGTAGAACATACTATAGCTCTGATGCTATTTGTCGGTCTGATATATGTACTGATACGTTTGCTGAATTACACACTCCGGAATTCCTGAATGGGTTGCGATGCTCTGGTATTCCTAACCATTCTCTTGCTCTTAAAGTTGGATCTCCAGTTATGTTGCTGCGGAATATTGATCACTCTCTTGGGTTGTGTAATGGAACAAGATTGGTTATTACTAGATTAGCAGACCATGTTGTTGAAGCTGAGATACTGTCTGGAAAAAATGTGGGTACTCGAGTGTTGGTTACTAGATTATCAATGACACCATCAGACCGCCGATTTCCATTCAAGTTTGAAAGGCGACAATTTCCACTAATGTTGTCTTATGCTATGACAATAAATAAAAGTCAGGGACAAAGTCTAACCAATGTTGGATTATTTTTGAAGAAACCTGTTTTCGTACATGGACAGCTTTATGTAGCTCTATCTAGGGTTAGCAACCCCAATGGCCTTAAGGTTGTCATTTTAGACGAGAATGGAGATTATGATTCCTCAACATCAAATGTTGTATATAAGGAGGTTTTTAAGAATTTGTAACTTTAAGATAAAAAATTGTAATTGTTATTTTTGTTGTGTTAATTAACACAAACTATTTTACATGAACAGCATAATAATATAATATATTTAATTTATATTTAAAATTTTAGACCATGCATCGCACGGGTGGCATACTAGTAATAATAATAATGGGAACCACGTTAGAGCCAAAAAAATCCCGCCTAAACAAAACGTGGTCGTTTAGTGAGAGCCATATTTTTTGCGTAAAACATTAGGTTATTATGACTTCTTTATCGGGAGTTGCTTAAACCCTTTCGTATTTCGATTTAAATCACTTCAACGCCCGGCTGCTGTCAGATATTATTAAAAACACATCGTTTCCTAAACCAATGTGTTACCATTAATAGGATACATTCATATATGACGTTCATGGAGTTCTATAAATTCCATATTTTAGAAGGGTGATTGAAGAAGAGTACTGCTGCGGAATAGAGTGGTAGTGGAGGGAACCCAAGTCAGATTTGCGCGATGGACGCTGGATTGGAGACCATGGTGTGACTCGCCGTTGGTCCTGGTATGGATTCAATTCCCAAATCTGTCATTTCATTTATTTGATTTGATTTACATATGATGAGGCGATTGTGTGAGCTGATTGGTGAGTTGTTGTTATTGAGTACATTCATACAGAAGTAGTTCATATCAAATGCAACCTCTTGAAATAGTCTTTACATAGAATACAAATATAAATCGATATGGCTCCAGTGTTTAGCCTTTTAACATATTCGAAAACTACTTCTGACATTAAAGCGCGTACATACGAAATTGCAGAGAGAAGGGGCAATGATAATGAATTATGATAATGAATGGGTGTAATCTAAGTGTTTTTCAAATTCAAATTCATCCTTCAACTTTGGATACCTAGCAGGACGGTTAAGAGATGAAGAAGGTAGAGAATTCAACTAGCATTGGATGCAAGAGAAAAACGTGGAGATCTAACTAAAGGTATAGTACAGATTATTGTTAGGATACCCTATCTGATCTTAAGGAATAGAGTGAAGGTTAGGGTTGTGAATGTTAATGATAAGGCTCTCTTCCTGCTATGGGATAAGGAATGCTTGGAGTTGATTGCAGTTGGAGCAGCAGAGTTGAAGGAGAAACACACTCAGGTAAACATTTTATATTTGAAATAAAACTTACAATTTTGGAATACTATCTAATTTTATATTTTTTTTGGAATCTGAAATCTGATAAAAAGCCTTGGTAATGGAATTTTCAGGGAAGCCATAAACCACCCAAAGAGATTATGGAATTGGTTGGCATGTGTATGATGTTCAGAGTTGCAGCAAGGAAAGGGCAGTTTGCTAATTATCACAATGCCTTTTCTGTGATAAGGATAGTGAATGACCCAAACTTGCTTATCACAGAAAAGACCTGACCTCTGAGGTACACTTAAATGATGATGATAGTGTGCTTGACAAGGTAAATTATCTATTCATCATCAGAATGTTTATAGGACTAATTGAATTTTGAGTAAACAAGTTACTTTCTATGGTTATCTTATAACTAGGGATCTTGGAGTGATGAGGTTGAATGCCCGGTTGCACCCATCTGTAGTATAAAGGTTGTTAAAGGCACGGATTCAGAAACCGTCAAAAGGTGTCTGCTCAATGAGTTCTCATCATCCAAGGGGGCTAAGAATAGAAAAGAGAGTACAATCAAAGTTGAAAAGAGAGATAAATAATTTAGTTGATGTTTCAAAATCTGTGAGGGTAAAAACAATGTTGGTTTTCTAGACAATTTTGCTTCATTGCAAAGTTAAACTTAGACTATAAGTATTTTAGTTTCTATGGGATTTTTCAATCTTGATGCTATGGCTTTTTGCAGGGACCTATGCTGACTTATTTTAAGTGGCTTGAAGGCTAACTTAGAAATTAAAGTATGCCACTTTGTCATTGATTGACAAAGTTGATGGTTTGTACTAACTGTCAGATTGGATTATTCTTTTCTATTTGCAAGAGAAAAATATACATAGAATGCAAGTACCACACAAAATCTATAGTCAATAATTGTGTCTTCCCAGATAAGTAAGCTGATGGTGATGAAGTTAGTTGAAACCTCACTACCATAATAACAAAGAGAGACGGAATGTAGCTACTGGTTAGAGTTTATAAGCCTAAGGGCTTTCTTGTCTTTTCCTTATTTGGGCAGTTATAACTGCTTTTCCTCCTCCTGTGTATAAAGGAGCTGCTGTGTTCTTCTTGTTCGGTTGTTAGAACATTCTCTCATCTTCTGTAAACTGAGATACACAATACAAATTTTGCTTTCTTCTTGTTATGATCTGAGCCATTCCAACATGGTATCAGAGCTTCATCGTAGCTATGCCGCAGCGGTAATGGCCGAAGACGGTGAAGGAAACTCTACTGGACAGCAAACAGGAGGGTTTTCAAATCAGAATCAGATGAATTTCAATTCAGCTCAGTACGATCCTGATGATCCTATGTATTTGCATGTGATTGAGAATCCTAATCTCATTCTCGTTTCTCCACCCCTGTCGAATATCAACTACACTTCCTGGAGTCGTTCGATGAAGATTGCATTGGAGGAAAAGAACAAGTATGGTTTTATAGATGGAACTATTGCCAAGCCTGCAGAAACAATATTGTTTGGTCCTGGCTATTCAAGTCGCTCGGCCCTACAATTGCAGAAGGAGTACTCTATTTTGAACTTGCAGCAAAAATCTGGAAAGTTCTTGGAAAGAGATACTCCCAAGTGGATCCTCACATAATTATAGAAATACAAAATGAAATCTACAGGAGTTCACAAGGTAACTTGTTTATCAACGAGTATTTCACTAAGACTAATGCCTTATGGGTTCAATTAAATGCAATGAGACCTATTCCTACTTGTGAATGTGTACCTAAGTGTTCTTGTGCTCTTGTGAGTAAGATTAAGAAGGAGAAAGAAGAGGATCAAATCATTAGATTCTTAGAAGGCTTAAATGAAGAATATGAGGATATCAAGTCAGGTATCCTTGTAATGGAACCTATTCCAGTCATGGAAAAAGTGTTGAACATGACTCTAAAGATGGAAAGAAAGCTTAAGAACTCAATGAATATCAAATGCAATGATTTGGCTCAGGCCAGTGCTGTGCAGAATGTTCAGGCTCAACACTCAGATGAACAGATCATGATTGCAGCATCAAATTCATATAATAGGAAGAAATTCAATACTAGATCACAAAAAAATGTGCCTAAGTGCACATTTTGTGGGATGTTAGGTCACAAAATTGAGAAATGTTACAAAAAACATGGATACCCCCCTGGGTGGGTACCAGGTTAGAAATCCAAAGGGAAGCAGAACTAGGATACTCAACACAATCTCAGTGTTTCTATCAGTCAGGCCAATGATATTGGTCTGTCTCCTGATCAATTTCAAAGACTCGTATCTCTGTTGCAAAATCAAAAGCAAGGAAATAAGTCCTCAACCAATGCAGCTGTGACAGTCAACAATGCTGGACTCATTCCAGATTTTAGAAACTCTATGGAGAATAGCCACAATGAAGGCAGGTCTATCTCTGATTCTTATGTTAACACTGTCTTGAATTCTTCTAATGTTTGGATCCTAGATTCAGGAGCAACAGATCACATTGTTTGCTCCTTGGAATATTTTGAAACTTTTCATGCTGCTTATGGAGTTTTGGTTAAATTGCCCAATGGGGACACAGTGAAGGTCACACACATAGGACAAGTTAGATTGCACATGAACATACTGTTGAAAAATGTGTTATTCATCCCATCTTTTCAGTTCAATATCATATCTGCTAGCAAATTAACAAAGGAATCAAAGTATGAGATTGTTATGAGGACTGACTCTTGCACCCTTCAGGGACATCTTGGGACAGTGGATGGTTTTGCTAGTGAGAAATGTGGACTGTAACCAATCCCCCTACAAAGAAGATGACATGTTCTTCCAGCACTGTTTTGGTTCATTCTGTAATAATCTCTCTATAGAGCAATGGCACAATAGATTAGGCCATTACCCTATGAATAAAATGCATTTGTTGAAAGAAATAAAACTGTTTCTCCCTCATAAATGTCATACTTTTGTGTGTGATACTTGTCACTATGCCAAGCATAAAAGATCCAGTTTCCCGACTAGCACAACTAAGGCTGAAAGCCTATTTGACTTAATTCATATGGATGTTTGGGGGGCATTCTTGTGGGTTATTTGAAAGGAGACCACTACTTTCTAACCATTGTAGATTATCACAGTAGATTCACATGGCTACACGTAATGAAACATAAGTCAGAAGTGAAGTCCATATTTCATAATTTTTACAACCATGACTGGAATCAGTCTTCAGTCAGAATCAAGATGGTTAGAACAAACAATGGGGGAGAATTCATGTTAAGCACATTCTTCAATGAGAAAGGAATCTTACATCAAAGATCATGTGCTTACACACCTCAGCAAAAGGGGGTGGCTAAGAGGAAACATCAACATATTTTGAATGTTGCTAGGGCATTGAAATTCCAATCTGGTTTGGCAGATAACTTTTGGGGTCACTGTGTCTTACATGCATCCTACTTGATCAATAGATTACCCACTAAAGTCCTCCATGGCAATAGTCCCTTCCAAGTACTGTTTGAAAAAGATGTGGATTATGGCAAGCTAAGATCCTTTGGCTGCTTGTGTTTTGCTACAACCATTTCACAAAGAAGAAGTAAAATGCAATCAAGAGCCAGAAAAATCATTTTTCTAGGCTTTCCAACTAATGTAAAAGGTTACATATTGTTTGATTTGGCCGATAAAGTTACCTTTGTATCCAGGGATGTAATTTTCTATGAGCAAATCTTTTCCTTCAAAGGAGATCCAATGCCTCAAAACAGTAATGCCACACCAGAAGGTTTTAATCCCTATTTGCCTCTAATTCCCCTCTCTATTGAAACGGATGCTAGCATGTTACAGCCAACCAATGATGAGCCAACTAGCAGGGATTCCAGTGAAGAGAACCATGATCACCACACTGATGAGGCAGTAAGCACTGATAGCTACTCACCAGGGCTCTCCACTGAACATCCAACTCACAAAGGTGATGTCCCAGAGTGTAACACCCCGAATTTTTAAAAAATTTAAAGCTTATGAAATCAGGGAAAATCTATTATTAATCATCCAAACTGAGCATAAACTAATCATAAGAGTCGGGGTGCTATGCCACATCTAGGTTTGAGAACTTAGACGCACAGGCTACAACTTTCTAGTCTAAACATAATACATAATTAATATTCAAATACAATTCAAGGCACACAGTCCATAGCAACTATGACTTGAACTAACTAATGCTAAATATGTGGGTCCGTCTAGCGCTATCTGAAGCTACTGGTCAATACCTGAAAAACATGCAATGTAACAACCGTCAGCGAATAATGCTGGTAACCCAATCCCACGCATTAAGTACAATATAGGTAGATATAGGAAAATCATTTTGAAACTGGAATACATATATAATCCTGAGCAACTCTAGCTTTACAACCAAGATCAAGACTCGAGACACAACAACAGACTTGACACTATAGAACAATCATAAAGACTAGCATGCGCCCTAAGAACACAATACAAGACATAAGCTCATAAATAACAAATAGAGACAACAATGAGATTCAGAGACAACCAATTAGAAAGTAATCATCAAGGCATGCAATCCATCTTCCAACCTTATACCAAATTCCAACCTTTTTACTCCACTCCATCCTTATTTCAGTTCCAACCTCTACCTCCAGGCTACCATTATACCTCCTCCCTTATCCCTTCGGAGCAACTACATGCCCCACTCCGTAACCACCAACAAGTCCACCAACATGGTAGCACCGAAGTGTCATTCGCATGGTCCGTACCTCTAGTACCAATACCAAGGGGTCAGCGCATATAGCTCTAACATGACACCGCGGCGCTTATACCCTGACCCATGCCTTTAGCCAGCAAGTCTAAGGGGTGGTCCGTGCCTTTAGCATGATAACCGAGCACTCGTTGTGCTTTCTGCTAACAATTCATCTCCACCAATCATAATCTCATCATCATCAGTCACATCGATCATTGCGCAATGACCACGATACCCATCATCATTCAATCAATCAACACATAATCAATCAATAACAATCAAGACATAATAACAATGATTCGTACTACACATAAATTCCTAGAACGGTATTCAAAACATCAAATGAGACTCAAACACGTCAAACGGGGTACAACAGGACAAAACGGGACATAGGGAAACATCAAACGGGGAAAAACATCACGCCGCGACACCACTTCCCAGCGGGTGGGTGGCGGGTGGAGGACCACCCACTAGCTACCCGCCGGCGGGCAGGCCACTGCCAGCTGGAATTGTGTAGCCGGGGCAGCGGGTAGGTGGTGGGGATTCGTCCCCCCACCTACCCCCACTAGTACGAAGGTGAAAATCTCGGTTCGGGGTTCGTTCGTGGAACCCAAAACCATGCCCAAACACATTCCAACACGTAACAACAACATCACGGATTCAATTAACGAAGATTAATCCAAGAATCATTCCAAATACGTTCTAACACGATTCCTAAACATGCCAAGACTCGACATCAATCACATAACGGTTCAAGAGCATCCAGCACCTCAAGAATATCAAGAAATCTATATGGAAAGCCCTAAAGAACATCCGATCATGCATAAACCCGCCCAAGAACATCACAACAACGAGATTCACAATATAAACCCTTGGGACAAGCTCTAGACATTAATTAAATACAAGATCACATATATAATCAATCACAACATCAAGATCACCAAGATTATCAAATAAACACAATATAAATCCTAGGCAAAGGCTCTATCAAGACTCAATCACAGAATCACCCATACAATTATCAAAGGAGCCAATAAATAAGATATAGCAAGGAAAATAGGTTTTGTAAGACATGGGTTATCTCTTAGCCTTAATTAATCCTCCATTGGCTAATAAGGTTCTTCTCTAAGATTTCCCTCTGATTGATCTCCCTAAGCATGGTGGCGGGGAATCTCTTGGGAATATTTTCGTGTAATATAACTATGGGTGGTAGGGTTCTAATGCCTTCTAATCCCCCCTTTATATAGGTTAGGATCTCTAATACGAATCTAACTAGGTAAGAGGTTTAAGATTCCTAATTAGAATCTGAATAGTAAAATGTCTACTTTATTCCTAACAGGATTAAAGGTTTAATTAGAGATAAGGGTCCATGGCCCATTGTGGACCATATTTAATTAATCAAGGGAATTCTAACTAACTTAAATTCTTTTTAACTATTTGTTAGCGGAATTAGTTCCGGATCAGGTGAGGACCTATCCTTAGGTGAGGACATGAGAACTAATCCAGATCATCCATTTGGAGTGATCTAACGGTTATGAAAAAAACAAAAAAGGACTGCACAACGAATTGGGATGGATGCACAGCAATCACACTATGAATGCACAACAAACTAGAAAAGAATGCACAACGAATTGAGTATGAATGCATAACGAATTGAGTACGAATGCACAACGAATTGAGTACGAATGCACAACGAATTGAGTATGAATGCACAACGAATTGAGTATGAATGCACAACGAATTGAGTACGGGAAAGCACAGTTCTATGCCTTCAAGTGCACAACTTCTAGGCAGTATTTGTTATATCGATCTTGTGCATTATTTTCAATAACATATAACTAAATGTCTAATGAAATTTGTGAGATCTACAAACAATTTTTATGGGTAATTGGTTTAATAACACTTAAGTTGAATAACCTCCCTTTTTGGCACCATAAATTGCATCAATTGCACATCTATTTCCCTTCGAATGCAATTTTTTTGCGTTCAAGTGCATATTTTTTACCTTCAAGTGCGCATATCGCATTTTCGCACTGAAAGTGCCATGTGCACCTGATCCTCTCTCTCTCTCTCTCTATCACTCACTCTCTCTCTCTCTCTCTCTCTCTCTCTATATATATATATATATATATATATATATATATATATATATATATATATATATATATATATATATATATATATATATATATATATATATATATATATATATATATATATATATATATATATATATATATATATATATCGATTTATATATCGATTTATTGTATAGATTTCTTCTACTTTTGGTCTCACTATTATTAGGTCATTTCATGTTAGGTTCCCAAGTATTTGGGACTATTTACCAAAATGAAAAAATGGAGAATTTTTCAAAAAAATAGATAATTGGAGATGGAAAAAAAATGGAGAATGAAAAACTTGTTTACTAAAACATTGTTCTAAAAAGTCATTTTATCTTCATTCTCCAACTTTTACAATATATTTAGAGAAGTGGTAAACCAACTTCTCCAAATGGATAAATGAAAAAAAGATGCGTGAACAGTGTGCTTTGCCCAAAGGTTGATGGATTGATCCCTACCAAGAGCTATTTATGCGCCTGCCTGCTTTTTCCCCAATTGTTATGCATTGGACCCGTGTCCAGCATGCATGCTGGACACGGGTAACAGTGCCGTTAGGCACTGTTATCTCCTCTTTTTTTTTTCTTTTTTTTTTTTAAATTTCAGACCGCTTCGTTATAGGAGTATATGTTCATAATTTTATTACTATATGTTAATAACTGTACATTCATAACTCCATAACTGTACGTTCATAACTCTATAACTGTACATTTATAACTCCATAACTGTACATTCGTAACTCCATAACTGTACATTCATAACTCCATAATTGTACATTCATAATTTTCGAAGCTCTATGTTCACAATTTTAGAGCTCCATGTTCATAATTTTATCACTATATGTTCATAATTGTAAGTTCATAATGTTAGAGCTCTTTGTTCATAATTCGATCAATAACTGTACATTCATAATTCCATAACTGTAGATTCATAATCTC